TACTACTGTGGTTCAGACTCTCAGCTGAGATTCATAAAGATACAGCTGGCAGTCGGTGAGACCAACACAGAGAGATAGAATGATAACAAGCAACAAAACATTCAGGTGAAGGTTTTTTATCACATTACGTTTTGTATTTTCTCCAACAGGCTCTCCACATCAAACCAGCTCTGTGACTCCAATTAGCTCTGCTGAACAGGTTACATCACAACCACCAACATCAGATAATCCTGGTAAACTCTTTCAACTTCTTTCTACATCTCTGTTACTCCTGTTGTTTTGTTCAATCTTCTCATTCCTATTGTTCGGCTCTGAGCTGCTTTATGACATACAGTTGATTTCTGCATTATTAAACTGAACTGAGTTTTATCAGTTTTTGAATAGACTGTTATAACAACAATCCACACCTAACCTTCTACACTCACAATGCATTCACACGTTCAAAAATGGAGATTTTTGAGTAAACCAGTAAAGTTTCTCTGTTTCAGGAGATATAATGTCTTACCATCATTGACTTAAATGGATTAACTCTAAGTTAAGAAAACCAGCTAAACATGATGGAGAACGAGGAAACAGGAACATGGCTATTGGGTCTGACTGAAATAATTAATCGATGTCATTTTGTGGTGGTGTTTCTAGGGAGGTTCTGAGAACCAGCTAATTTCTCCATTTCCTTGTTTTCAGATGTTTCTTTATTCTATATTCTGCCTGCGGTCTTCGCTCTGCTTCTGATCCTGACATTTGTCCTTTTGCTGGTTTTAAAAATCCAAATCAAGGATCAAGCAAGGTACATTTACACAGATTATACACCAACACATAAATCCCCCACAGAATCACATCATGTTTACTTTGTGTTTTTAGTGGATGGAACCAATGGAAACGTGTTGAACTCTGCTGACAGTGATGAGGAGACGAGAATCAACGATGTGAGTAAATTGAACTTCAGCTATTAGATATTTGATGTTTCTTACAAAAAGAATCTAATTAATTTCATATATTAATATTTTTAGGTCTACGAGTTTCAAGAGGATATTAACATAAACTCTTCCACTCCAAACACATTGAATCATGTTGACAATGATATCTATGACATCATCCTCTAAAGGAGACCTGCAGAAGTTAGGAAACACGTGACCAGTGTTTCTGCCATCTTGTGTGTGGCGGCCCCCTGCCTGCTGTCTTGCAATGTGGCCTGTTAATTGTCATTCAATGAGGTCTTGGAGTTGAGAGTCTCTTATAATCACTTGTCAGCTGAATCATGTATCCAGTGGGAACGATGTAGTGGTTCTTGGGCTGCCGCTCAATACCTCTAGACAATCATTTTAATAATAAATGCCTCTGAAGGCTTGAAATGCTTCTTGTTGTTGTTTCCTCCCAGTTTCTTGTTGCGGTCATCAGAGCCGGGCCGTAACATTGTGTAAAATGGGTCAGAAAAGGATATTTAGTACTTATTAGGTTTTATCTCAAATGTTATTAAGCTGTGTTAAAACTATGTGCAAACAGAACAAGTGACTTGTGCTGTCATATCATCCTGGGCACTGAAGGGCAGGCGATCAGTTCACTGTGTCACAATAAGCATCTTTTGGTTCTGTTGTGTTTCTGAAACCAAAAAGAAATTTAGAAGAAGTTTCAAAGAATCAACACATACAAAAAAATATTCACACCTACGACAGATTTAGAAGGAGGGTCCTATTTTAATTTGAGCATTTTCCTTTGACTGAAAGTAACTTTAACATTTTGGAGGTTCCCAATCTGAGTCTCAACTTGGACCACTAGAGGGAGCTAAAGATTAGTCTGATGTTTGGGCCTTCATGCATTAAACACTTGGAGTTCAATGTCTAACAGGAAATGTTCTTTGAACAAACAGACGCATTCAGTGGAAGATGCAGGAAAAACTCCTGGATCAGGCGGGAAAAGGGAGGAAGTTGGTGCTGTTTCCATGTTTACAGGTTTATTAACATGCAGTGAACTTCCTTCTCTTCAACCAGATGTTTTCTGCACATGAACAGAATAAAGAAGCACCAATCAAGATGGTTTTCCCTGAAAAATGATCTAATCTTGTTTTATTAATGTTCATCTCTTTTATTAGCAAAAAGCTTAAAAGAGCCTTTTGTCCATTATTATACCTAAAATAAAATCAGTAAGTTGTCAAAGATTATCTCAAATCTTGTTGAAGGTTCAGTGCTGTAATAATTAATCTCTTCTTGTCTTTAAACATAAAATCATTCAACTGATAAGTTTTGATGAATTCAACAGACAGAAGCAATAAAGATTTCTCAATGCAAAACCCTGCTGACTGTTTCTTGGTGTGAGAACAAATCAAGTTCCTGAATATTTTAGAACAAGAAACATGAAGATCTGCAAAGCTGAGACTAAAACCAGAAACTGAGTGTCCCTCAATACTCCACCCCCTTTTTGTTGTGGTGAAAAAACTCTATTTCCTGTATTTGTGAGTAATGCCTGTGAGCGTCTCGGTTGCAGATTTAACATTGGACCAATGCAGAAACAAGACGTTTCACACTGCTGAGTTAATTCGACACGTTCAAAGGGTGTTGAACCTTCTGAGTATCAGGATCCTTAGTAGCTCTGACGTTTCCTCTTAATGTCTCATCTTAAAATAACTTCTGCCTCAGTTCAGCTCTGGTTTCGAAGGACAAAGAGATGTGGAGCCATCAACTCATCATCGTCTGCAGTAAGACATAAGATATGATCTGCAACAGTTTGCTTTAATCTTACGATGAAATTTATTTAATTCAAATAAATGTGTTTTTAATTATATAGTATTTATTTAAAGACTCAGTAGCACTTCCTGTTTGTGTTGTGACTGAAATGTGATCGCCTTATCTCATACAAACTAATTGTGCTTTTTATTTGAAAAAGTAGTTTTACAAAACTTGTAAAAAAAAAGTTTTCACATGTTGAAGCATAAAACTAAACTGATGTTGTTTTCTATCTGCAGCATCTCTGAGTTTTATGATCAGTGCTGAAGGTTTGATCCAAGTGTTTGGATACAAGGAAGAGATGTAAAGGTTTCATGCTCCTACAGTGAGCGATATAAGGAGAACGAAAAATACTTTTGCAAGAATGACTGTGACTACAGTGACATTCTCATTACAACAACACAGAAAAATAAAGGCAAATATTCCATCACTGATGATAAAAACAGGAGAGTCGTCACAATAACCATCTCTGATCTACAATCACATGATGAGGGGAAATACAGGTGTGGAGTCTCAAGGTGGTTTGGAGATCCCTACACTGAAGTAAGACTGTACATAAAAGAAGGTAAATAATTAAATTGTTCTATATTTCTCTGGAGATTTCACAGCAAATTAAAATGAATTAAATAAAGCATCAATGTCTTACCATGTTAATAATACACACTTTAATCAATGTGTGTTCTTAAATTTAGCTATTATTAGAAACAAAATGTATTTTCTAATTTTGCTAGTTGAATTATCATGTACTTGCTGATCTTGATCGTCTATTATATCCAAAATAAAAACCTGTTTAGACATCAATGCAGACATGTTAATAAAGGCTCAATTTTACTAATCTACAATGTTAAATATCACAAAAGTACAACTTTCTTTTATGTGAAGGTTTTGTTCTAGTTTTTCTTTCACATTAAATTGGTTTTTTAACCTCTTGTCAGACAGATGTTGCAACACGGTGATAAAATCCAAAGTATTGAGGAAGGTTCAGTGACCATCAGCTGTTCGTACGACTCTCAGTCTGTCGACAAGCTGAAGTTCTTCTGCAGAGGAACCCGGCCCTCCACATGTCGACAGCAGGCAGTGATCACCTCTAGCAACACACAAAATGGACGATTCAGACTCTCTGATGACAGGAAGTCAAGAATATTCACAGTGACCATTTCCACTCTGACCCTGAAGGATTCTGGGTCGTATCTTTGTGGAGTCCAGAAAATCTCAGGATTTGATGTTTTTTCTGCTGTTGAACTAGAGGTCAAAGGTGAGAGGTTATTCTGCCTTTGCTAATTTGACAATGAATCTTAAGAAGTTTATAAATACAAGTTATTCAAATTTCTTCTCTGGCAGAATCCTGTCTGCAGTCGTACAACATCAGTGGCATGGAGGGACGTCCAGTAACTCTGCAGTGTCCTAATTCAGGACAACATCATGATAACAAGACGTTCCTCTGTAAAGGAGACCAACACAACAACTGTACAGACATGATGGAGAACCAACAAAGTTCAAGCTGCTCAATGTCTCCTCCAGCTGTTTCTCTGTGATCATCAGTGAACTGGAAGCAGCTGATGCAGGAACATACTACTGTGGTTCAGACTCTCAGCTGAGATTCATAAAGATACAGCTGGCAGTCGGTGAGACCAACACAGAGATAGAATGATAAAAAGCAACAAAACATTCAGGTGAAGGTTTTTTATCACATTACGTTTTGTATTGTCTCCAACAGTCTCTCCACATCAAACCAGCTCTGTGACTCCAATTAGCTCTGCTGAACAGGTTACATCACAACCACCAACATCAGATAATCCTGGTAAACTCTTTCAACTTCTTTCTGCATCTCTGTTACTCCGTTGCTTGTTCAATCTTTTCATTCCTATTGTTCGGCTCTGAGCTGCTTTATGACATACAGTTGATTTCTGCATTATTAAACTGAACTCTGAGTTTATCAGTTTTGAATAGACTGTTATAAAACAACAATCCACACCTAACCTTCTACACTCACAATGCATTCACACGTTCAAAAATGGAGATTTTTGAGTAAACCAGTAAAGTTTCTCTGTTTCAGGAGATATAATGTCTTACCATCATTGACTTAAATGGATTAACTCTAAGTTAAGAAACCAGCTAAATATGATGAGAACGAGGAAACAGGAACTGGCTAGGGGTCTGACTGAAATAATTAATCGATGTCATTTTGTGGGTGTGTTTTCTAGGGAAGGTTCTGAGAACCAGCTAATTTCTCCATTTCCTTGTTTTCAGATGTTTCTTATTCTATATTCTGCCTGCGCTCTTCCCTCTGCTTCTGATCCTGACATTTGTCCTTTTGCTGGTTTTAAAATCCAAATCAAGGATCAAGCAAGGTACATTTACACAGATATACACCAACACATAAATCCCCCACAGAATCACAACATGTTTACTTGTGGTTTTAGTGGATGGAACCAATGGAAACGTGTTGAACTCTGCTGACAGTGATGAGGAGACGAGAATCAACGATGTGAGTAAATTGAACTTCAGCTATTAGATATTTGATGTTTCTTACAAAAAGAATCTAATTAATTTCATATATTAATATTTTTAGGTCTACGAGTTTCAAGAGGATATTTACATAAACTCGGCCACTCCAAACACATTGAATCATGTTGACAATGATATCTATGACATCATCCTCAAAGGAGACCTGCAGAAGTTAGGAAACACGTGACCAGTGTTTCTGCCATCTTGTGTGTGGCGGCCCCCTGCCTGCTGTCTTGCAATGTGGCCTGTTAATTGTCATTCAATGAGGGTCTTGGAGTTGAGAGTCTCTTATAATCACTTGTCAGCTGAACAATGTATCCAGTGGGAACGATGTAGTGGTTCTTGGGCTGCCGCTCAATACCTCTAGACAATCATTTTAATAATAAATGCCTCTGAAGGGCTTGAAATGCTTCTTGTTGTCGTTTCCTCCCAGTTTCTTGTTGCGGTCATCAGAGCCGGGCCGTAATATTGTGTAAAACGGGTCAGAAAAGAATATTTAGTACTTATTAGGTTTTATCTCAAATGTTATTAAGGTGTGTTAAAACTATGTGCAAACAGAACAAGTGACTTGTGCTGTCATATCATCCTGGGCACTGAAGGGCAGGCGATCAGTTCACTGTGTCACAATAAGCATCTTTTGGTTCTGTTATTTCTGAAACCAAAAATAAATTTAGAAGAAGTTTCAAAGAATCAACATACAAAAAAATATTCACACCTACGACAGATTTAGAAGGAGGGTCCTATTTTAATTTGAGCATTTTCCTTTGACTGAAAGTAACTAACATTTTGGAGGTTCCCAATCTGAGTCTCAACTTGGACCACTAGAGGGAGCTAAAGATTAGTCTGATGTTTGGGCCTTCATGCATTAAACACTTGGAGTTCAATGTCTAACAGGAAATGTTCTTTGAACAAACAGACGCATTCAGTGGAAGATGCAGGAAAAACTCCTGGATCAGGCAGTAAAAGGGAGGAAGTTGGTGCTGTTTCCATGTTACAGGTGTTATTAACATGCAGTGAACTTCCTTCTCTTCAACCAGATGTTTTCTGCACATGAAAGAATAAAGAAGCACCAATCAAGATGGTTTTCCCTGAAAACTGATCTAATCTTGTTTTATTAATGTTCATCTCTTTTTAGCAAAAAGCTCAAAAGAGCCTTTTGTCCAACATTATACCTAAAATAAAATCAGTAAATTATCAAAAGATCATCTCAAATCTTTTTGAAGGTTCAGTGCTGTAATGATTAATCTCTTCTTGTTTTTAATTATAAAATCATTCAACTGATAAGTTTTGATGAAATGAACAGATAGAAGCAATAAAGATTTCTCAATGCAAAACCCTGCTGACTGTTTCTTGGTGTGAGAACAAATCAAGTTCCTGAATATTTTAGAACAAGAAAATGAAGATCTGCAAAGCTGAGACTAAAACCAGAAACTAAGTGTCCCTCAATACTCCACCCTTTTTGTTGTGGTGAAAAAACTCAGTTTCCTATTTCAAGACGTTTCACACTGCTGAGTTAATTCGACACGTTCAAAGGGTGTTGAACCTTCAGAGTATCAGGATCCTTAGTAGCTCTGACGTTTCCTCTTAATGTCTCATTTTAAAATAACTTCTGCCTCAGTTCAGCTCTTGTTTTGAAGGACAAAGAGATGTGGAGCCATCAACTCATCATTGTCTACAGTAAGACATAAGATATGATCTGCAACAGTTTGCTTTAATCTTACGATGAAATCTATTTAATTCAAATTAAATGTGTTTTTAATTATTTAGTATTTATTTAAAGACTCAGTAGCACTTCCTGTTTGTGTTGTGACAGAAATGTGATCGCCTTATCTCATACAAACTAATTGTGCTTTTTATTTGAAAAAGTAGTTTTACAAAACTTGTATAAAAAAAATTTTTTCACATGTTGAAGCTCAAAACTAAACTGATGTTGTTTTCTATCTGCAGCATCTCTGAGTTTTATGATCAGTGCTGAAGGTTTGATCCAAGTGTTTGGATACAAGGGAAGAGGTGTAAAGGTTTCATGCTACTACAGTGGGGGATATGAGGAGTACGAAAAATACTTTTGCAAGCATGACTGTGACTACAGTGACGTTCTCATTACAACAACACAGAAAAATAAAGGCAAATATTCCATCACTGATGATCAAAACAGGAGAGTCGTCACAATAACCATCTCTGATCTACAATCACATGATGAGGGGAAATACAGGTGTGGAGTCTCAAGGTGGTTTAGAGATCTCTACACTGAAGTAATACTGTACATAAAAGAAGGTAAATAATTAAATTGTTCTATATTTCTCTGGAGATTTCACAGCAAATTAAAATGAATAAAATAAAGCATCAATGTTTTGCCATGTTAATAATACACACTTTAATCAATGTGTGGTCTTAAATTTAGCTATTATTAGAAGCAAAATGTATTTTCTAATTTTGCTAGTTGAATTATCATGTACTTGCTGATCTTGATCGTCTATTATATCCAACATAAAAACCTGTTTAGACATCAATGCAGACATGTTAATAAAAGGCTCAATTTTACTAATCTACAATGTTATATATCACAAAAGTACAACTTTCTTTTATGTGAAGGTTTGTTCTAGTTTTTATTTCACTTTAAATTGGTTTTTAACCTCATGTCAGACAGATGCTGCGACACGACGAATAAAATCCAAAGTACTGAGGAAGGTTCAGTGACCATCAGCTGTTCGTACGACTCTCAGTCTGTCAACAAGCTGAAGTTCTTCTGCAGAGGAAACCGGCCCTCCACATGTCGACAGCAGGCAGTGATCACCTCTAGAAACACACAAGATGGACGATTCAGACTCTCTGATGACAGGAAGTCAAGAATATTCACAGTGACCATTTCCACTCTGACCCTGAAGGATTCTGGGTCGTATCTTTGTGGAGTCCAGAGAAACTCAGGATTTGATGTTTTTTCTGCTGTTGAACTGGAGGTCAAAGGTGAGAGATCATTCTGCCTTTGCTAATGTGACAATGAATCTTAAGAAGTTTATAAATACAAGTTATTCAAATTTCCTTCTCTGGCAGAATCCTGTCTGCAGTTGTACAACATCAGTGGCATGGAGGGACGTCCAGTAACTCTGCAGTGTCCTAATTCAGGACAACATCATGATAACAAGACGTTCCTCTGTAAAGGAGACCAACACAACTGTACAGATATGATGGAGAACCAAACAAAGTTCAAGCTGCTCAATGTCTCCTCCAGCTGTTTCTCTGTGATCATCAGTGAACTGGAAGCAGCTGATGCAGGAACATACTACTGTGGTTCAGACTCTCAGCTGAGATTCATAAAGATACAGCTGGCAGTCGGTGAGACCAACACAAAGAGATAGAATGATAACAAGCAACAAAACATTCAGGTGAAGGTTTTTTATCACATTACGTTTTGTATTTTCTCCAACAGTCTCTCCACATCAAACCAGCTCTGTGACTCCAATTAGCTCTGCTGAACAGGTTACATCACAACCACCAACATCAGATAATCCTGGTAAACTCTTTCAACTTCTTTCTACATCTCTGTTACTCCTGTTGTTTGTTCAATCTTTTCATTCCTATTGTTCGGCTCTGAGCTGCTTTATGACATACAGTTGATTTCTGCATTATTAAACTAAAGGTCATTTCAGCTCCTCACTGTAGGATTTAGTTTATCAGTAGTTGATGGCCTGAAATGATGCACCTGTTTAAACATTCACAATCACAAGCATCAACACATTCATGCACATTCAGAGTACATCAGTGTGAGAGAATGTCATGCCACCATCTTTAGGCATCTTGCTAAATGTCACCTTAAAATAGAGAAAAAAAAAACAATTTCCTCTTTCATTAGATTGAGTCGTGCTACTGACTTTTGAGGTCTGGACTTTTTCAGGTTTCTGAGTTTTGAGTATGAGACAAAAATAACAACATTCACATCACAGATCTTGATGCTTCATTCTATTTTTTGCTGAAATCCGATCTTTTGGAGTTATTTTGCGTTCATACTTCTAATTAAATCAGACAGCAACCAAACTTCTGTGCTCAGAGATAAACCAGCAACCAAAACCAGCCAGAGTTGTTAAAAGATAAATACCATGAGCATTAACGTTAAGCACAGAACCATCTCTGGATCAAGAATCAACAACAACAGAATCTCCCATTAGAGCCAATTGATCAAATCCAGGTCAAACCTGGACCTACCAGTCCTTCCTGCTGCCTGGTCATCCATGAATGAAGTCTGAGTGTTTAGTGTTGATTGTTCTCAACAATGTTTCAAATTATTAAATGTTTTCATTCTGCGTTTGTTTCCAGGAAATGTTCTGTTGATACCTATTAAATTGTCCTGTCTCTTCTTTTCAGGTCTGACTTTATTTTACCTTCTGCGTGTCGTCCTGTTTCTGCTGTGGATCCTGCCTTTGGTCCTTATGATGATTCCTAAAAGAAAAATAAAGAAAGAAGGTGAATTTACCCAGAATGTCAACACACAATGCGAAAAAACGAGAAAACAAAACATGTTTTTTTTGTTGTTCTTGTAGAAATCCAGATGAATGTATTGATCACTGCTGATGCTTCTAAGAACCCGAGGATCAATAATGTAAGTCCACAAAGTTGAAACTCTGAAAGATTTCTTCTTGTGAGGATTATTGCATTAGTTAAGTTTCCATTAACTATGAAATACATTTTCCTAGTGGAAACACACTAATTTAGAAAAAAATCTAACAGTTCTGAGTGAAAAGTTCTGCGTTTTGTTGTGTTGGTTGTTATCCTGACAATGTGTGGCAGAATCCATCACAGATCTCACAGCATCACACAGTTTATAACAAGTTGGTGTCGTTCAAACAGGTTCAATATGAGGCTCTTCTGTTAAATCAGTCGACTGCATTTGTCACAAAACGCTCCTAATTATCAGGGGCTTGTTGCTCCTCACAGCTGAAGACACTGACATTAAATAACCTGATGGCTGATAGATGAAGAGAGCTGGAGCAATGAGTGAACTATAAATATTTCTCTGCATCCAACTTTCCCTGTTCAGTATTTCTATGTCCACTAGGGGGAGTTTCTGTTTCTGGTCAGTTTGTGCTCGTCTCTCTTGCATCTCAAAAGATGCTTCATCAAAATATCAACAGGTGGATTTGAGAAGTTTTATTGCAAATGCAAACAAGACATTAATTGATTTCTTTTAACTTTTTTTTGAGGATTCAGTAGATATTTCTCCTACATTGTTTTCATTTCTCTCCACATTCAGTGGAATCTGACTTTATCTTTGGGTCCAGATCCTTCAGGTTTTGTCCTGGGAGATTTTGAACATTCATCCAGATAAGCTGGTCTGCTCAGTAATATAACTCTCACTTCAATATCATAAATGATTATTTTTCAGATTGGTAAAAAATCCAGAAGGCAGCTCAACATTCGCATGACAGAATCAAGAGCAACAATGAAGCTGCTGATTCTCAACAAGTGAACCAAAGTCTCACCACAAATGAAGATCTTTGTTCTGATTGTCGGAAAGCAAAATGATGAAAAGCACTGCAGAGGAAATTATTATACATTTCTAACTAGTTTTAAGATTTAGATGCTAATTGATCATTGTTTTAATGATGCAGTTTGTTGTGCTACATTAACTTTCCTCACATCATAATAAATAAGAGGTTTTCGATGAACCAGACTTTGTTTCCTTTTAAATCATGAAGGTAAAAATGCAGGCTATATCTGCAGTATTTTAAACCTGTCACATTGTTATGGTGATATTTTTATGTTTCTATAATATTTGTCATTTTGACTTTAAAATAAATTTTATTTCTACCCTCAATTTGTGGCAACTTATTTCTTATCCACTTTTTATTCACTAGATGCTGTTACAATCAGCAGCTTTTGCAATGAGAGAATGAACCTGGAGAACATCAATGAATGATCTAAAATAAATAAACTATAGACAGAAAAATCAGCTTTACTTGTATTGAAACAGGAAATATTCTTGCTGAGAGGATGCACCATTCAGAACCACAGCTCAGCCCTCCCACGTTTCCTATGACCAGTTCCTCTAACTCTTTAAGCATTTTGTGAAGTACATAATTCAGAGACTGAGGTCCAGTCAACAGTCAGGGAGCAAAAACATCTTTAATACATCTGCAGACGGAGAGCAAAAGTACACTGCATTAGACGAAAATCATTCTGCTCTAACGAACTCAAGAGTTGCATAGTTGCTTTATTCAACCCTCTCTGCTAACAGAGGCAGAGACTCAATCTTCTAAGACCAAACAAAAGAAACAAAGGAAAACAGACGGAACAGTTCAACCTTATACACTCATTCACTACAATGTCCACGGGATGAAAAAACTAAACACTCTATCTCTATGCAGGGAAGGCCAAGGGAAAAAAGTTCCCAGATAACTAGTCTGTGAAACTTCAACAGACACATCTTGTTCAATTAGTTTGTACACCCTCTGCAGCTGCACGAAAAAACATCTTGACAATGATACACTGTATGATGCAAATAAAAGATTTTCTCTTTGAAGAAAAATCTACTTCACAACTTATATTTATTTTTTTGATATTAAGGATGTCTTTTTTTTCTTCTGGTTGTTTTGATGTAGTTTAGTTTTGGCATTTGAAAAATAGAGGAAATGATCATTTAGACCTCACTCATGAGTTTTGCTGATGTTTGTGCAGAGGGTTGAACTCATCAGATCAATGTGGTTTCCTTAAGATACTTCATGCTTCACTTCAACGTTATTTCTGGTTTAGTTTGTCGTTCTCAGTAGTGCAAAGATGTGGAGCTTCCAGATTGTGTTTCTCATCTTATCTGGTAAGTTTTAATATTAATTTGTCTACTAATATAAATTAAACAGTTTCCAGTGGCTTTAAAATGCAGGGAAGATTTTGTCATCTTAAAGTCATAAAAATGTAGAATAAAATCAAATAGACAAGATGGCTCCCTCTGTAGTCGCTGACATACTACTTTTGATTACTTTTAATTATAAAATCATTCAACTGATAAGTTTTGATGAATTCAACAGACAGAAGCAATAAAGATTTCTCAATGCAAAACCCTGCTGACTGTTTCTTGGTGTGAGAACAAATCAAGTTCCTGAATATTTTAGAACAAGAAACATGAAGATCTGCACAGCTGAGACTAAAACCAGAAACTGAGTGTCCCTCAATACTCCACCTCCTTTTTGTTGTGGTGAAAAAACTCTTTCTTGTATTTGTGAGTAATGCCTGTGAGCGTCTCGGTTGCAGATTTATCATTGGACCAATGCAGAAACAAGACGTTTCACACTGCTGAGTTAATTCGACACGTTCAAAGGGTGTTGAACCTTCTGAGTATCAGGATCCTTAGTAGCTCTGACGTTTCCTCTTAATGTCTAATTTTAAAATAACTTCTGCCTCAGTTCAGCTCTGGTTTTTGAAGGACAAAGAGATGTGGAGCCATCAACTCATCATCGTCTGCAGTAAGACATAAGATATGATCTGCAACAGTTTGCTTTAATCTTACGATGAAATCTATTTAATTCAAATTAAATGTGTTTTTAATTATTTAGTATTTATTTAAAGACTCAGTAGCACTTCCTGTTTGTGTTGTGACTGAAATGTGATCGCCTTATCTCATACAAACTAATTGTGCTTTTTATTTGAAAAAGTAGTTTTACAAAACTTGTAAAAAAAAAGTTTTCACATGTTGAAGCTCAAAACTAAACTGATGTTGTTTTCTATCTGCAGCATCTCTGAGTTTTGTGATCAGTGCTGAAGGTTTGATCCAAGTGTTTGGATACAAGGGAAGAGATGTAAAGGTTTCATGCTACTACAGTGAGCGATATAAGGAGAACGAAAAATACTTTTGCAAGAATGACTGTGACTACAGTGACGTTCTCATTACAACAACACAGAAAAATAAAGGCAAATATTCCATCACTGTTGATCAAAACAGGAGAGTCGTCACAATAACCATCTCTGATCTACAATCACATGATGAGGGGAAATACTGGTGTGGAGTCAATGTGTGGGGAAAAGATCCCTACACTGAAGTAAGACTGCACATAAAAGAAGGTAAATAATTACATTTTTCTATATTTCTCTGGAGATTTCACAGCAAATTAAAATGAATAAAATAAAGCATCAATGTTTTGCCATGTTAATAATACACACTTTAATCAATGTGTGGTCTTAAATTTAGCTATTATTAGAAGCAAATGTATTTTCTAATTTTGCTAGTTGAATTATCATGTACTTGCTGATCTTGATCGTCTATTATATCCAACATAAAAACCTGTTTAGACATCAATGCAGACATGTTAATAAAAGGCTCAGTTTTACTAGTTTATAATGTTAAATATCACAAAAGTACAACTTTCTTTCATGTGAAGGTTGTGTTCTAGTTTTTCTTTCACTTTAAATTGGATTTTAACCTCATGTCAGACAGATGTTGCGACACGGTGAATAAAATCCAAAGTATTGAGGAAGGTTCAGTGACCATCAGCTGTTCGTACGACTCTCAGTCTGTCGACAAGCTGAAGTTCTTCTGCAGAGGAAACCGGCCCTCCACATGTCAACAGCAGGCAGTGATCAACTCTAGCAACACACAAAATGGACGATTCAGACTCTCTGATGACAGGAAGTCAAGAATATTCACAGTGACCATTTCCACTCTGACCCTGAAGGATTCTGGGTCGTATCTTTGTGGAGTCCAGAGAAACTCAGGATTTGATGTTTTTCTGCTGTTGATCTAGAGGTCAAAGGTGAGAGGTTATTCTGCCTTTGCTAATTTGACAATGAATCTTAAGAAGTTTATAAATACAAGTTATTCAAATTTCCTTCTCTGGCAGAATCCTGTCTGCAGTTGTACAACATCAGTGGCATGGAGGGACGTCCAGTAACTCTGCAGTGTCCTAATTCAGGACAACATCATGATAACAAGAAGTTCCTCTGTAAAGGAGACCAACACAACAACTGTACAGACATGATGGAGAACCAAACAAAGTTCAAGCTGCTCAATGTCTCCTCCAGCTGTTTCTCTGTGATCATCAGTGAACTGGAAGCAGCTGATGCAGGAACATACTACTGTGGTTCAGACTCTCAGCTGAGATTCATAAAGATACAGCTGGCAGTCGGTGAGACCAACACAGAGAGATAGAATGATAACAAGCAACAAAACATTCAGGTGAAGGTTTTTTATCACATTACGTTTTGTATTGTCTCCAACAGTCTCTCCACATCAAACCAGCTCTGTGACTCCAATTAGCTCTGCTGAACAGGTTACATCACAACCACCAACATCAGATAATCCTGGTAAACTCTTTCAACTTCTTTCTGCATCTCTGTTAATCCTGTTGTTTGTTCAATTTTCTCATTCCTATTGTTCGGTTCTGAGCTGCTTTATGACATACAGTTGATTTCTGCATTATTAAACTAAAGGTCATTTCAGCTCCTCACTGTAGGATTTAGTTTATCAGTAGTTGATGGGCTGAAATGATGTAGCTGTTTAAATGCAAACCTAACATTCACACAAAAAAGCATCAACACATTCATGCACATTCATAGCACATCAGTGTGAGAGAATGTCATGCCACCATCTTTAGGCATCTTGCTAAATGTCACCTTAAAATAGAGAAAAAAAAACAATTTCCTCTTTCATTAGATTGAGTCGTGCTACTGACTTTTGAGGTCTGGACTTTTTCAGGTTTCTGAGTTTTGAGTTTGAGACAAAAATGACAACATTCACATCACAAATCTTGATGCTTAATTCTATTTCTTGCTGAAATCTGATTTTTTGGATTTATTTTGCGTTGTCGTTCGTACTTCTAATTAAATCAGACAGCAACCAAACTTCTGTGCTCAGAGATAAACCAGCAACCAAAAAGGTAGACCAGATAGAGTTGTTAAAAGATAAATACCATGAGCATTAACGTTAAGCACAGAACCATCTCTGGATCAAGAATCAACAACAACAGAATCTCCCATTAGAACCTATTGATCAAATCCAGGTCAAACCTGGACCTACCAGTCCTTCCTGCTGCCTGGTCATCCATGAATGAAGTCTGAGTGTTTAGTGTTGATTGTTCTGAACAATGTTTCAAATTATTATTAAATGTTTTCATTCTCTGTGTGTGTTTCCAGGAAATGTTCTGTTGATACCTATTAAATTGTCCTGTCTCTTCTTTTCAGGTCTGACTTTATTTTACCTTCTGCGTGTCGTCCTGTTTCTGCTGTGGATCCTGCCTTTGGTCCTTATGATGATTCCTAAAAGAAAAATAAAGAAACAAGGTGAATTTACCCAGAATGTTGACACACAATGCGAAAAAACGAGAAAACAAAACATGTTTTTTTTGTTGTTCTTGTAGAAATCCAGATGAATGTATTGATCACTGCTGATGCTTCTAAGAACCCGAGGATCAATAATGCAAGTCTACAAAGTTGAAACTCTGAAAGATTTCTTCTTGTGAGGATTATTGCATTAGTTAAGTTTCCATTAACTATGAAATACATTTTCCTAGTGGAAACACACTAATTTAGAAAAAAATCTAACAGTTCTGAGCGAAAAGTTTTGCGTTTTGTTGTGTTGGTTGTTATCCTGACAATGTGTGGCAGAATCCATCACAGATCTCACAGCATCACACAGTCTATAACAAGTTGGTGTCGTTCAAACAGGTTCAATATGAGGCTCTTCTGTTAAATCAGTCGACTGCATTTGTCACAAAACGCTCCTAATTATCAGGGGCTTGTTGCTCCTCATACAGCTGAAGACACTGACATTAAATAACCTGATGGCTGATAGATGAAGAGAGCTGGAGCAATGACTGAACTATAAATATTTCTCTGCATCCAACTTTCCCTGTTCAGTATTTCTATGTCCACTAGGGGGAGTTTCTGTTTCTGGTCAGTTTGTGCTCGTCTCTCTTGCACCTCAAAAGATGCTTCATCAAAATATCAGAAGTTTTATTTCAGAAGTTTTATTGCAAATGCAAACAAGACATTAATTGATTTCTTTTAACTTTTTTTGAGGATTCAGTAGATATTTCTCCTACATTGTTTTCATTTCTCTCCACGTTCAGTGGAATCTGACTTTATCTTTGTGTCCAGATCCTTCAAGTTTTGTCCTGTGAGATTTTGAACATTCATCCAGATAAGCTGGTCTGCTCAGTAATATAACTCTCACTTCAATATCATAAATGATTATTTTTCAGATTGGTGAAAATCCAGAAGGCAGCTCAACATTCGCATGACAGAATCAAGAGCAACAATGAAGCTGCTGATTCTCAACAAGTGAACCAAAGTCTCACCACAAATGAAGATCTTTGTTCTGATTGTCAGAAGCAAATGATGAATGCACTGCAGAGGAAATTATTATACATTTCTAACTAGTTTTAAGATTTAGATGCTAATTGATCATTGTTTTAATGATGCAGTTTGTTTTGTTACATTAACTTTCGTCACATCATAATAAATAAGAGGTTTTCAATGAACCAGACTTTGTTTCCTTTTAAATTATGAAGGTAAAAATGCAGGGTATATCTGCAGTATTTTAAACCTGTTACATTGTTATGGTGATATTTTTATGTTTCTATAATATTTGTCATTTGTCAGTTTGACTTTAAAATAAATTTTATTTCTACCCTCAATTTGTGGCAACTTATTTCTTTATCCACTTTTTATTCACTAGCTGCTGTTACAATCAGCAGCTTTGCATTGATAGAATGAACCTGGAGAACATCAATGAATGATCTAAAATAAATAAACTATAGACAGAAAGTACTTGTATTGAAACAGAAAATATTCTTGATGAGAGGATGCAGCACTCTGTACTACAGCTCAGCCCTCAGTCATGTTTCCTATGACCAGTTCCTCTAACTCTTTAAGCATTTATATTTATGCTATTAATAATAAGGATGTTTTCTTATTATTTTGGTTGTTTTGATGTAGTTTGATTTTAGCATATGGAGCTTAGGTGAAAATTCAATCTGGGAGACTCGATCCAGCTGACATTCATCTCGCAATCGCCACGTCCTATCTCAACCAATCAGGGCTGGAACAACTCTCCGCTTCGAGCCTATCATCATCCAGGACCGTCTTCAAAAGCCAAGCTATCAGAGGGTCAACCCGCTCGTCGCTGCTCACAACCCACCTCCTCCCCTCTTCTCCACAGTGGCGGAGCCAGAGGGGTGGCCGGGGTGGCAAGTGCCACCCTAGTGCCACCCCTCTGGCTCCGCCATGACAAATGACAAACTGGAAATTGTCATTTTAAAATACAATACTTATGAGATCGGCCAAGATTTGCCAGGAAAACTGTATTTCCGACTGTCCCTGAAGGTAGCCCGATGCCCGACGCTGTTCTTGGACTGACATGTGGTTCCTGCTTGATCCAAAACACATCCGCGGCTTTAGAGTTACACCGTCCAGGAGTTCTGCAGGTATTTACAACATTTTACCGCTCAGCTGTAACCGCTGTTACCTTCCTAATGAGAGGCGACACTTGTCATACATTTCTAAAAAGAAATAAATAAATGGTTGTGCACCGCTGCATAGTGCCTCGTTTATTATATTAGCCATGCTAGTGCTGGTAGATCGTGTTTTAGACAGATTCTTTTAACATATGTTTTAGTGACATGCTGCCCTCTAATGTTTTATATCTCCCAGCTCTTGCTTGAAATGTGTGGTGAGAATATGTGAAAAACCATTGAGTTTTATAATGACTGAAATGTAAGTAGGCTATGTCATATGAAAGCTTTGAATTATAACCTAACTAGTTATTTTAATTAATTTTAATTAATGTATTTTTAATTTAGTATTTTAGCTAGCTACAGAAAACTAAAAACTATAGTTTAAATAATAGTTAAAATAGTGTTGTCTCTGCCAAACAGTCATGGAGTCTAAATACCAGGCTGTCTTATTTTGTGTAGAGCCCAAATGAAGAGAAAAGGGAATATCTCCCAGTTCTTCTTAAAGAGGCAAAAACCAGGACCAGACAGAACCCTGCAGCAGTGACCAGGACCAGACAGAACCCTGCAGCAGTGACCAGGACCAGACAGAACCCTACAGCAGTGACCAGAACCAGACAGAACCCTGCAGCAGTGACCAGGACCATACAGAACCCTGCAGCAGTGACCAGAACCAGACAGAACCCTGCAGCAGTGACCAACCTGAGAATCCAGCCAGGAGACTCCAGGCCCAAGTGTATCACCAGTGGGTTAGAGGCTGACAGAGAGAGTTATTAAGTATTAAAATCCAATAAGCCTAATTCTAAAGGTTAGCATGATGCTTTTTTGCATTTTTTATTGTGTATGTTTATGCATTTCCAGTTAAGTTCCAGAGAGAGATGAGGGTGATACAGATTCAGAGTCAGACTCTGGGGAGGAAGACGGTGAAGCAGAAGGAAATGGTACTGAACTGCCCCCACCCAGCACAACCTATTGCACACCATAAGCACCAGTTTATTTATTTATTTATTTTTGAGAATTTGTTTTTGGTCATATTCTGGGCTCTGAGTTTACATTTACATGTTCACTGTTCCATAGTGCCGTTTAACGTCTTGTTTGGTCTTGGCAAATCTTTGTTAAATAAACCATTTTAATTTGAGTGTGTGTGAGAAAATATTTGTTTCCTTTCGTTCATCATTTGTATATGGACCCCTCTGATAAAGCCTTGTTCACCCTTTGGCCACCCCTTGAAAAAAAGTCTAGCTCCGCCACTGCTTCCTCACCTCCGTTCTGATGGATGTTTCCAGGATCCTTCCACACCCAGCTCCACCACCGGTTTTCGGCCCCGGGGAAGACTGTCCGAGCTCGGCCGAGCTGATGTCCTGCCTGCGGTGATCCGCGACTCACAGTGTTCAGCCGGGGCCGAGCGCCAAAGATTCTGTATCATTAAATCTGTAACTGCTATTCTCTTCTCTGTGTGAGTCTCTGCAGATTGAATTGAAAAATAGAGGAAATGATAATTTAGACCTCACTCATGAGTTTTGCTGATGTTTGTGCAGAGGGTTGAACTCATCAGATCAATGTGGTTTCCTTAAGATACTTCATGCTTCACTTCAACGTTATTTCTGGTTTAGTTTGTCGTTCTCAGTAGTGCAAAGATGTGGAGCTTCCAGATCGTGTTTTTCATCTTATCTGGTGAGTTTTAGTATTAATTTATATACTAATATAAATTAAACAGTTTCCAGTGGCTTTAAAATGCAGGGAAGATTTTGTCATCTTAACGTCATAAAAATGTACAATAAAATCAAATAGACAAGATGGCTCCCTCTGCAGTAGCTGACATACTACTTTTGATTTTCTATTTGCTTTTAAATAAATATATTTACAATCTAATCATTGTCTTTTATAGATATGGCCTTTTCTATTTATATATTTACAGTTTGCTGAGGAGTCAGACTAAGAATTTCTATTTATTTCAAGTGACAATAATTTAAAATTAAACTTATTGCATTAATTATATTTTTGTTCTCTCCTGTTTCCAGCTGCTGTGTGTTGTGTGAGTCGTGCTGCAGGTTTGATCCGTGTGTTTGGATACAAAGGAAGAGATGTGAATGTTCCTTGTTCATATGACGAAGGTTATGAAAGTTATGAGAAGTACATCATCAAAAAAATTTAAAAATCATTCAACTGATAAGTTTTGATGAATTCAACAGACAGAAGCAATAAAGATTTCTTAATGCAAAACCCTTCTGATTGTTTCTTGGTGTGAGAACAAATCAAGTTCCTGAAGAAAATATTTAAGGAAAAGAAACATGAAGATCTGCACAGCAGAGATTAAAACCAGAAACTGAGTGTCCCTCAATACTCCACCTCCTTTTTGTTGTGGTGAAAAAACTCTATTTCCTGTATTTGTGAGTAATGCCTGTGAGCGTCTCGGTTGCAGATTTAACATTGGACCAATGCAGAAACAAGACGTTTCACACTGCTGAGTTAATTCGACACGTTCAAAGGGTGTTGAACCTTCTGAGTATCAGGATCCTTAGTAGCTCTGACGTTTCCTCTTAATGTCTCATCTTAAAATAACTTCTGCTCAGTTCAGCTCTTGTTTGAAGGACAAAGAGATGTGGAGCCATCAACTCATCATCGTCTGCAGTAAGACATAAAATATGATCTGCAACAGTTTGCTTTAATCTTACGATGAAATCTATTTAATTCAAATTAAATGTGTTTTTAATTATATAGTATTTATTTAAAGACTCAGTAGCACTTCCTGTTTGTGTTGTGAGTGAAATGTGATCGCCTTATCTCATACAAACTAATTGTGCTTTTTTATTTGAAAAAGTAGTTTTACAAAACGTGTAAAAAAAAAAAAAACAATGTTTTCACATGTTGAAGCATAAAACTAAACTGATGTTGTTTTCTATCTGCAGCATCTCTGAGTTTTATGATCAGTGCTGAAGGTTTGATCCAAGTGTTTGGATACAAGGGAAGAGGTGTAAAGGTTTCATGCTACTACAGTGGGCGATATGAGGAGTACGAAAAATACTTTTGCAAGCATGACTGTGACTACAGTGACGTTCTCATTACAACAACACAGAAAAATAAAGGCAAATATTCCATCACTGATGATCAAAACAGGAGAGTCCTCACAATAACCATCTCTGATCTACAATCACATGATGAGGGAAAATACTGGTGTGGAGTCTCAAGTTGGTTTAGAGATCCTACACTGAAGTAAGACTGTACATAAAAGAAGGTAAATAATTAAATTGTTCTATATTTCTCTGGAGATTTCACAGCAAATTAAATGAATAAATAAAGCATCAATGTCTTACCATGTTAATAATACACACTTTAATCAATGTGTGGTTTTAAATTTAGCTATTATTAGAAGCAAAATGTATTTTCTAATTTTGCTAGTTGAATTATCATGTACTTGCTGATCTTGATCGTCTATTATATCCAAAATAAAAACCTGTTTAGACATCAATGCAGACATGTTAATAAAGGGCTCAATTTTATTAGTTTGTAATGTCAAATATCACAAAAGTACAACTTTCTTTTATGTGAAGGTTTTGTTCCAGTTTTTCTTTCACTTTAAATTGGTTTTTAACCTCTTGTCAGACAGATGTTGTGACACGGTGAATAAAATCCAAAGTACTGAGGAAGGTTCAGTGACCATCAGCTGTTCGTACGACTCTCAGTCTGTCGACAAGCTGAAGTTCTTCTGCAGAGGAACCCGGCCCTCCACATGTCGACAGCAGGCAGTGATCACCTCTAGAAACACACAAGATGGACGATTCAGACTCTCTGATGACAGGAAGTCAAGAATATTCACAGTGACCATTTCCACTCTGAGCCTGAAGGATTCTGGGTCATATCTTTGTGGAGTCCAGAGAATCTCAGGATTTGATGTTTTCTCTGCTGTTGAACTAGAGGTCAAAGGTGAGAGGTTATTCTGCCTTTGCTAATTTGACAATGAATCTTAAGAAGTTTATAAATACAAGTTATTCAAATGTCCTTCTCTGGCAGAATCCTGTCTGAAGTCGTACAACATCAGTGGCATGGAGGGACGTCCAGTAACTCTGCAGTGTCCTAATTCAGGACAACATCATGATAACAAGACGTTCCTCTGTAAAGGAGACCAACACAACAACTGTACAGATATGATGGAGAACCAAACAAAGTTCAAGCTGCTCAATGTCTCCTCCAGCTGTTTCTCTGTGATCATCAGTGAACTGGAAGCAGCTGATGCAGGAACATACTACTGTGGTTCAGACTCTCAGCTGAGATTCATAAAGATACAGCTGGCAGTCGGTGAGACCAACACAGAGAGATAGAATGATAACAAGCAACAAAACATTCAGGTGAAGGTTTTTTATCACATTATGTTTTGTTTTTTCTCCAACAGTCTCTCCACATCAAACCAGCTCTGTGACTCCAATTAGCTCTGCTGAACAGGTTACATCACAACCACCAACATCGTCCTCATCATCAGATAATCCTGGTAATTTCTTTGTTTCTTTCTGTTTGTTACTTTATTTTTTCTCACTCTTTTCATTCCAGTTGTTCCAAATCTCCATATGTTCTGGTCTAACAGCTCAAAGCTGCTCTAACGACACAAAGTGAATCTCTGTATTAAACTGTTTGGAAACAATTAAATAGTTTCCTCATGATGACCAACAGCTTTGACTCTTTCCAGTCTGGTTTTCGTGCTCACCACAGCACGGAGACTGCCCTCGTAAAAGTATTCAATGATATCCATATAAATACGGACTGTGGGAGAACCACGGTGCTGGTTCTATTGGACCTCATTGCAGCTTTCGACACTGTCGACCATGACATATTACTGAATCGAATGGAGAGTTGGGTTGGACTCTCCGGTTCGGTGCTCGACTGGTTTGAATCCTACATAAAGAACAGGGATTTCTTTGTTTCAATTAGAAACTTCTCATCAAAGAGGTCAAAGGTCACATGTGGGGTACCCCAAGGTTCAATCCTAGGACCCCTCTTATTTAATATTTATATTCTCCCACTAGCTCAGGTCATAACAGGAAATAATATTAGCTACCACAACTATGCGGATGACACACAGCTCTACATTACGATGTCACCAGGTGACGCTGAACCCATCCAATCACTGAATAAATGTTTAGAACAGATAAATGTTTGGATGTGCCAAAACTTTCTCCAGCTGAACAAAAACAAAACTGAAGTCATTATTTTTGGACCTAAAGAGGAACGATCTAAAGTCAATGCACAGCTTCAGTTATTACAACTAAAACCTAGCAATCAGACCCGAAACCTGGGAGTAGTGATGGACTCGGACTTGAACCTTGCGAGCCACATAAAGACAGTAACAAAATCGGCCTTCTATCACCTGAAGAACATCTCCAGGATTAGAGGACTAATGTCTCAGCCAGATCTAGAGAAACTCATTCATGCGTTTATCTTTAGTCGCATTGATTATTGTAACAGCATCTTCACAGGCCTGTCCAACAAATCAATCGAACAGCTGCAGTTGATCCAGAACGCTGCTGCTCGCGTTCTCTCTAGAACCAGGAAAATAGAGACATAACACCAGTTTTAAAGTCCCTCCACTGGCTCCCTGTAGCTCAAAGAATAGATTTTAAAATACTGTTAGTTTACAAATCACTGAACGGTTTGGCACCACAGTACCTCAAAGATCTGCTGTTGTTGTATCAACCTTCCAGACCTCTCAGGTCTTCTGGTTCTGGTCTGCTTTGCATCCCCAGAACCAGAACCAAGAGAGGAGAAGCCGCTTTCAGCATCTATGCACCAAAATCTGGAACAAACTTCCAGAAAACTGTAAAACAGCAGAAACCCTGACTTCCTTTAAATCTCAACTAAAAACACACCTGTTTAGTTTTATTTGAAACGTAATACGTAACAATGTATTGTTTATTCCATGATGCATGACTTTGTGTTTTTGTGTTTATGATGTAAAGCACTTTGAAATACCTTGCTGCTGAAATGTGCTATACAAATAAAATTTGATTTGATTTGTATTAAACTAAAGGTCATTTCAGCTCCTCGCTGTAGGATTTAGTTTATCAGTAGTTGATGGGCTGAAATGATGCAGCTGTTTAAACATTCACACTCACAAAGCATCAACACATTCATGCACTTCACACATTCAGAGTACATCAGTGTGAGAGAATCTCATGCCACCATCTTTAGGCATTTTGCTAAATGTCACCTTAAAATAGAGAAAAAAAACAAGTTCCTCTGTCATTAGGTTGAGTCATGCTACTGACTTTAGACGTATGGACTTATTCAGGTTTCTGAGTTTTGAGTTTGAGACAAAAATAACAACATTCACATCACAGGTATTGATGCTTAATTCTATTTTTTGCTGAAATCCGATCTTTTGGAGTTATTTTGCGTTGTCGTTCATACTTCTAATTAAATCGGACAGCAACCAAACTTCTGTGCTAACGGATTACAACACAAAAGCAACCCACAATGATAATGCTGACATCACTCAGCAGTGAACTGTTTATGGACGTAAGAGTAGATGTAGACATTTACGGATCAAATTAAAAGTATTTTGTGACAGTATCTATCATGACAAGAACACAAAAGAAACTCATAAAAAGAAAGCACAACTAACATCAATGGTCTTTTGTGGCGCATTGACTGCAACTTCTGCAGCGACGTCTGTTTGGATTGTAGTCAGAACCAGGAGTGGTGGGACTGTGATGTGATTTGCCTCAGTGGCACAAACTTTAACATTTTCATAATTATAATGGTCAACCATTGTTCACGTCCAGTTTTACCTCCATCTGGAGCATATCCCACATCAGTGGCACAAACGTTGGGTGAAAAGCCAGATGACGGTTTAGACTGCAAATCCTTCAAAAACTATCAGATACATATTTGATTTAGTTCCACACATGGAAATGGCACAGACTGGATTTTATTTGGAGATGAAACGATCGAAATAGGGCCATTCAGACTACAATGGAAAAGTCAGAAATAGGTCTTATGCTGTGGGTCACGTTTCACTGTTGTGTGAATGCATCCTACTGAGCTTTAGTGGGTTGAGCTCTAATAAGTTTATTATAAATAACAGTTAAGAAAATAATGTAAATGAGGCGGAGATAGAAAGAGGAAACAGAAGCATCGAGTTGAACTTTTGGTGATCACAGTTTTTTCAACACAATTAAAATACGAAACTCATGTTGTCATTTTGTGGTCTTGTTTCTGGGGAGGGTTCTGAGAACCAGCTAATTTCTCCATTTCCTTGTTTTCAGATGTTTCTTTATTCTACATTCTGCCTGCGGTCTTCGCTCTGCTTCTGATCCTGACATTTGTCCTTTTGCTGGTTTTAAAATCCAAATCAAGGATCAAGCAAGGTACATTTACACAGATTATACACCAACACATAAATCCCCACAGAATCACATCATGTTTACTTTGTGTTTTTAGTGGATGGAACCAATGGAAACGTGTTGAACTCTGCTGACAGTGATGAGGAGACGAGAATCAACGATGTGAGCAAACAAAACTTCAGCTCTAAAATATTATTTTTCTCCCTGCAAATAAAATCATCTTTCTTTTATTTCTTTAGATCTATGACTTACAAGAAGATGTCGTTTACATGAACTCTTCCTCTCCAAACATGCTAAGTCATGACAATGATATCTACAACAACATCCTTTAAAGGAGATCTGCAGAAGTTAGGAAACACATGACCAGTGTTTCTGCCATCTTGTGCAACAGCTTGCTAAAGCAACCAAATGCTGGTGTGTTTTCATTTAGACATGTTTTTAATATTTATTAGTTTTTATGTCAAATGTGACTGAAGTGTGTTAAAGCTGCAGCTCAGTGGAGACACGCAGACAAAACAAGTCAAATTGATTTGCACTGAGATGTCAGCCTGAGGTCAGACTATTTGTTCTGTGTCACAATATGCATCTTTTGGGCCTGTTGTGTTTCTGAAAGCTAGAAGGAATTTCAAAAGAAGTGTCAAATTATCTATACAGACTAAACTTATTCATACCTGTAAGTTTAAAATGATCTCAACATTTTCTGAATGAAAGTAGTGTCAACTTTGTGGAGTCAACTTGGACCAGCAGAGGGAGCTAGAGATTAGTCTGATGTGAGGGAAACCTTCCAGCATGAAACATGAAACACTTGGAGCTCAGTGCAGAAGTTGAAGCATCTTAACAGACATGCAGAAAGTTGGTCAGTGTTTGTTTTGTTGCAATGCAAATAAAGATCTTTTCTTTCATTTTAAGCGTATAAATTATTTTCAGCATGCAGTTTGTAAATGGAAATAAAAACTAATCAATCAAATTTTTTTCCCAAACTGATTCTTCCCTTCCCTGCAAGATTTTAGGAAGTGCTTCAGATGAAGGATTTTAGACTCCTGGCTGCATCTCCCCTCCTCCCAACTTTACCTCAGACAGGAAGCTGAGTGTCTTCAGGTCAAACAGCCCAACACAGGCAGACAAGTCTGATAAGAGACCCCGCGCTCCCTGCTTTAAACCCAACAGCTCAGTTACATGGACATGTCATTTCCTTCATGTTTAAATGGCAGCGCCCCCTACTGGAAGAAATGAGACGTCACAGTCTGAATGGGATGTAACTTTCAGCTTTTCCAAGAGTTTAAGAGTCACTGGCTTTCTCACTTATCTCATTGGCACAAATGATCTCAATCTGACCACTTAATAATAACATCACGGAAAAATATACAAGACAATATTTACTGTATATAAGAAAAATAACGTCTTATTTAAAAAAGACGTCATTTTAATTAAAATCTGTGTGGAAATTGTTGATTTTCTCAAAAGTGTAAATTCAAATAGTTTAATAATTTTGCTGTACAGCCTCTGGAAGTTGCCATCCACTCCTCTCATCTTCTGTCACTCGATCTCCTCCTGCAAACGTGTAACTATAGGCAACGGCAAACAAACTCTGGTTCCTACAGGATTGCTTTCACTGCTGCACCGACTGTCCTGTCTTTTTAGTTTTTATTTTTCTTTCTGTCAGAAAATGAGTTCAGAAATCATTGCGTCTCGGCCGCATTATGACAGCAGAGCTGCAGCGCAAGGAGTCCACTGGAAAAGTCCGCCTGTGGAGCAGGAAGTGCCGCAGGCATCCTCAGGCTCGGCCACCGCTGGGTATCGCTCTGCTAAATACACCCCTGCCGAATGGCTCTCCAATTACCGAACCATCCTCGAACAGGCCGGTACCAACCGCAGAGACGCCCAGAACATCCAGCGGGAGTCCAGGACCTTGAGCCAGGACACTGAGGCTGCGGCCTTGAAGACCCAGGCCGCAGGGACGCGTCTTCTTGGAGAGAGACTCCAGGAGATCCACTCCTGGAAGTCTGAGCTGCAGCGGCACATCGAGCTCCTGCGGGCCGAGACCGAGTCACTGCTGACGGTGAAGAAGCGGCTGGAGAGGGCGCTGGATGCCACCGAGGCTCCTTATGCCATCGCCACCGATAATTTGACCTGCAGAGCAAGAAGACTGGGAGCAGAGCTGGTCAGAGACATGGTGGAGGAGGAGCTGCTGAAGGTCAGCAACGCATCCTTGCATTACTGTTTGGGTTTATATTTAACACTCTATGATACTTTCCTTAATAATGAATAGATGAAATCTACATCAAGCAATATAGCAGGGATTGTTCCTGTTCAAATCAAGCTGGTTGTCAGGCACTTCCCTCTGGCCCAATGTTGATTTTGAGCCGGATGAGGGGTTTTATTGTAGATATTATACACAGAACTGATAGATCGGCCCATTAGTCATTAATGATTCTGGGCTAAACTAATTGCAGCAGCTGATGGCCATCCACAGCTCTCAATCAATGATCAATCAATCAATTAGAGAGAGGAGAACAGACAACAACATGGACAGTGGCAAAAATGAAAAGGAGGTGCAGAAAGAAACACATCTAGAAAGTGGCTTGTTCTTCAGGCAGACTGTGTAAAGGGTTAATAGGTAAGCTGAAAATCTGCACATAGTGAATCTGACAGTCACAGGCACAGCAGGTTGAACATGTGGCTCTGTGTGTTTTGCAGGAGGTGGACTTGATCAGGAGCATTCAGGCTCTTCTGAAGAAAACTGCAGCTCAGGTTGTCGCTCAGATCAAGTAAGTCTAAAACTGGTCACTGGCTCCCAGCAGGGATCCAGTTGGTTTGAAGCCTCTCACTTTAGAAAACAGCATTCCTACGAGTTGATGGTTTTCTGTGGGTCAGGAGGAACCGACGTGCCCAGCAGACATTGGAGATGGACTGGTCCGATAAGTGTCAGGCCTACGGCTTCGACGACGCCTGTGGAAGAAACCATAACATGAGTCCAGACACACAGCAGCACCCCAGTTCTGCCACCATGCAGGAGCAGTGAGTCTGACTCTTTAGAAACATCAGAGCTGAGCTCAACTTTTACACACAAGGTTCCCTCGCTTCCTGCAGCGTTTCCACGCCCTCGTCATGGACAAAGTTTACTCAAGACAACCTGTCAATGGCCCTGCAGGAGGATCATGCCACCAAGAGCCTCAGGTCAGAGTCACAACGTTACGCTTTGTTGCCAGAGTGATTTTCTTCGACTGCTGAGAACTCGATGGCTGTGTTTTTTCATTTGTCAGAATCCTTGTGGAGCAAGTGCTGCAGGACACCACTGAGGATCTGAGGGTCCAATGCGCCAGCGTGGACCGAGCCTTCGGCCTGCGCTGTGAGGACCTCATTGAGGCCAAGACCCAGCTGGAGATGAAGCTAGCTCAGGTGGATGAGCTGACAGGCAGAAGAAACAAACCCACAGGTGAAACGTGGTTTACTGTGTCGTTGTTCCCGTAGACTTTGGAGCAAATTGGTGCCCAGGAGAAGAACATTGAGGTCCTACAGCGGGCCATTCACAGCAAAGAGGCTCCACTGAGGGTGGCCCAGTCCAGACTCTACCTTCGCTCTCTCAGACCAAACATGGAGCTCTGCAGGGACCAGCCCCAGCTCAGGTAGATGCACACAAACAGAAACGTCAGCATCATGTCGTGTGTCCATGTCCTCATGTATGAACCATGTCTGCAGTTTGGAAGGAGAAGTGAGGCAGATTGAGGCCTCCTTGGAGTCTCTGAAGCAGAAGCTGAGTGAAGCCAGGAGCTCCCTGTCCCTCCTGGAGGAGTCCAGGATGGCTCTTGAGAAGGACATAAACTGTAAAACCAATTCACTGTTTATTGACAGGGAAAAGTGCATGACTCACCGTAAACGATACCCGACCGTCTCAGTACTCTCAGGATACTGAACTTGTCTTCATAACTTGGGATTGTTCTGCTTGACAGTTTGAATAGTATCATGTGAAAAGTTTAGATCTTAAAACATTTTTTTTTATCTCCACAACTTTATTCTCAACCAGTTTGTTGTTTTGGTAAAGGCTCAGATGTTATCCGTGTCACTGTGACTCCATGCACACCGGAGAGAGTTGAAATTTCATAATCAATGGTACCGATATACTAAATTTCTCCCAACAAATTCCTCTATTTTTCTCATGATTTCAGCCGTGGCATCAACAAAGGAGGAGGATGTTTGATCCAGAATATGTGTACAAAGTTGTGAAAATTGACCTTTGTTCGCTTTGAGAGGACAAAGGATCTTCAGTGGAATGAAGTATCCCTGAGTATGTGGCAGCCTTTAGTCTTCATGATGCTGTTGCTCATTATTGCTCTAACAAATGGCTAAAGTCTTCAAATAAAATATTTATCTTCTTCCACTTCACTACTTTGAACTGTTACAATAAAATGTTGTTTGTTTGTAACTTGACACGTTGTGAAACGGTTTATTTGTTGTGAGTGTCTTTGCAAGGCGCTTTATTGAACCAGTCACTCCTTCATAGGTTAGCAAGCTAGCTGTAAGCCATTCATTTCCTTGCTTCCAGTTAGAAAGCTGCATCTGTTAGTTACCTGAAAACTTTTCCTAAGCTGCAACTGACAAGAAAACACAAACACAATCTGTGCAGCAGAACTTTGTGGTTGGCTCCAGGATTTTTATTTCTCATTGTTTTCAGTCAAAATCTCTCAGGCTGCTGCTTCCTGCTGCTGTCTCCTCGTCTCTCTGGTTCGCTTCTCACCTTCAAAGTTAACTTTTCACATAAAATATCAAAAGAGCTTGTCAAGTGCAACCTAGTGTATGAATATAATCTTCCTTGCAATACCGGTGTTAATCTATGTGGAATGTTTTTTCAACCCAGTCACAGGTCTTTTGCGGCCTTTAATATTCCGCGCCGAGGATTATCTTCTATTTAGTCCCAATTTGGAATCAGATTATTTTAATGTCGAGACGTAAATGTGAGTGCAGATGGTTCCCTGTCACAGTTAAGGTTCTAACTTGAATATGAATCCTTCCACAAACATGATAAACGACCCTTCATTCCAAATAGCATTTGGATGCATCAGATTCTGGGGAACGTTGCAAGTTTGAAACCCATCTTGATTCAAAACAGGAATGTATGTTAAATATAAAACTGACATCTCGGTCGATCTTTAAGGAACATTAAACGTTCGTGTTTTTCAGGTTGACAAACTTTCAACATAACGAGCATAAATCCCATGTTTAAATCGAGCTGTTCTGAAGACTGCGCCATAAATATTTCTCTCCACTAGAGGGAGCTGTCTGGCTTCAACATTTCTGCTTTTCCTGGACGTCTTCAGCTTGTCTTTGTCTTTAGAAGAAGCATTAAAGTATACAACACAAACACAACTATAGGATGTGAAGAAAGATGGGAGGTTATGTCTGATCACGTTGACGCGTGCTTCACAGTGAGCAGACGTTAACTACTACGTTAAATACAAGTAATTTCCTAATTTGCAGTTTGGGTTATAAAACATAGCTATATTTTTCTTTTTTTTTTACATTAAAGTCTTCAGGTGAAATCAGGCACATTAACTGATGGAGTGTCTTCTTTTTCTAAGAAGTGTCTGAGAAATAATTTGTCTCTATTCTTAGAAAGGTTCTGCAGTAACTCAGGAGGTGCCACGACTGAGGATGTTATGAAACTCAGCTTCAGCCACACATGCACATCTTGCTGAGCACATCTTATGCCACCCCCTAAATGTGAGCGATATGCATTGCCATGGATATTCATGCAGTAGTTTGTAAGCGATTAACAGGTTAAGAAGCTCAAAGGTGAAATATCACATTTTTATTGAGACTCAGGGGCTTTGTGACAGTCTGTACAAGTAAATAAAGGGACAAAAGCCAAACTTGCAATCTTTTATAATTTAGGGTCATGCTGCAC